TTCAACCGCACATTCTTCATCAATCTGCTATTTCAAAATACATTTTTCCAAAATAATGTGGCTCAAACACACTTGGTATATGTATTGCGTTTTGTCGAGAGAGAGAGAGAGAGAGAGAGAGAGAGAGAGAGAGAGAGAGGATATGGCATGGATTATTTTGATGGTATTAATTAAATTAAAAATTCGTAATTAGCACATGAATTTAAAACTCCAACCCTATGTTTTCGAATTTTAAATGTGAATGGTATTAATTAAATTAAAAATTCGTAATTAGCACATGAATTTAAAACTCCAACCCTATGTTTTCGAATTTTAAATGTAAATGGTATTAATTAAATTAAAAATTCGTAATTAGCAAATGAATTTAAAACTCCAACCCTATGTTTTCGAATTTTAAATTTGAAATGTAGGATTTTGTGTAATTTTCCGCAAAATAATTCTAAAGTATAGGCCCAATTTCAAATTACCTCTACTTGAAAAAAATATATATATTCAATTACACATTGAAAAAGAAAAAACTTTTGAGAGCCACAAAAAAATTGAACATGCGAGGCTAAAAACTCTTGAGTTTAATTATTAATAAAGAACAGTTATAAATTAGTTCAACTATACGTTTTATTGACAGTATTATGATGTATTCATATTAAATGAACAAAATAGAAAATAATAAATGCGAATATGAGTGTTAATTAATGGAGGGTGACTCGGATTAAGAACAAAATAAAGAAAGTACGAAGACGGATTAACACAATTATTTATGTTAATAGAATAAAAAATAAAAAAATAAAAGCGATGAAAAATGATTTGTGCATTCGGCCTAAATTTATTTTTTAGAAAAAAGTTAATAATCACAAATTTAAAATAAAAACGTTCATATTGTTTCGATTGGTGTTGAGCCTCTCTCTTAAATAATTAGCATAGTGTAATTCCATCAATAATTTCGCTCGAACTAGAGTTGTAAAGTTTATCACAGATCATGTCAAGGCTCGTTTTCAAGACATTGTACTTTACTTGACTATAAAGCAATTCACAGCATCAAATTTTTTTTGGGCCTTTCAAAATTTCAACAAGGTTTAGTGCCTAAAAGCAAACTAAAGCAAAAACAAGCTCCAAATTCAACCAAGAACATTCTAATTATCAGATTCTTCAACACCATCACAAGCAAAGTATCAATTACTTCATAAACTACCAATTCTATCAAGAAACAAATTTGTAGTTGCTTAGTCATGGATCGCTCCTTCTTGTCCACTATATTTCTTGCATTTTATGTGTTTGTTCCCATAGTTTCGAGCTATGGCAATGCTAATACGTGTCGAGCTTTCTGTGGGAATCTTAAGATTGATTACCCTTTCGCGCTTCAATCGGGATGTGGGCATCCCGGCTTTCGGGAACTCTTGTTTTGCATCAATGATGTTCTTATGTTCCACATCAGCTCGGGATCATATCGTGTATTAGGTATAGATTACGCGTACCAATCCCTTGTGTTACTTGACCCTCACATGTCCACTTGTGACTCGATTGTGCTTGGAGGCAGGGGCAATGGATTCGTGGTGGAGCAATGGCGTGCTCCATACTTGAACCCCACATCTGACAATATGTTCATGCTAATAGGTTGCTCAGCTGACTCGTCACTTTTCCAAGCTTATCACGGGAAACGCTCGCCATGTAGAAATGTTTCCGGTATGAGTTGCGAGGAGTACTATGGATGTCCGGGGTGGGACATGATCCGGCCTAAGCAGTACGGGGTGGTTTACGGATCGGGGCCACCGGGGTGTTGTGCATTACCATTTGAAGACATTAAAGCTGTTAATCTTTCAAAACTTGGTTGCCAGGGATATAGCAGTGCATATAGTCTTGCACCCTTGAGGCGGGCCGGGCCAGATGAATGGTCTTACGGGATAGAAGTTAAGTACTCTGTGCAAGGAAATGCGAGCTTCTGTCGAGCTTGTGAAGCCACCGGTGGATCGTGTGGGCATGACATTGATGGCAAAAATGACTTGTGCTTGTGCAGTGGCTGGAATTCTACGGGAACTTGTGATTTAGGTTAGTCCGTTCCAAGAGTGTAAGATTAACATGATACGCTCGATTAGATATGACCTATTTTTAGTCATTAACTAGTCGAATACTAATCAATTCAACGATACTAAACATGACTTATTTTTCTTTGTTAATCGCATCCAGTCGCTTCCCATCCAATCGTCGCTGGTGCTATTCTGGTATTTGGTTTTTGCTCTGCTAACTATTAATCTTTGTGAAATGCAGTCCACTCAGAATCCCACAGAAGAAAATGGTCTCTAATGGTTGCATTAGCAGGTATAATTTCATGTAGCCGACTCTAAATATACTATAAATAATTCGTAGCAATTTGTTATTATCATTGCTTAATAATTCCGCGAGCCTTCTTATAGCGATCGAAACTATATAATTTGAATATTTTGCAGGATTCGTAACTGGCACAATTATTTTGGAGACATCCCATTTGCAATGAGTAACAAAACCACAGAGAATACTTGTATTATGTGGTCTTGCAGCCTAATGAAGAAGAGAAGAATGCAATTACGTGCATGTTTTGGAACCTTTATTTAAAGAAACTGTATGTTGAGTTTTGAGGCAACAAATGTTTCTTCAGGTGGTAATAACCTTGTTGTTTTGTTTCTCTTAGACATATAAAGTTGTGATGTTTACAAGACTCGACAAGTTAGAAAACAGACTTCAACATGAAAAGAATATTTATCGTCAAGTAATGGGCCTCTAATCCATTGTTCAATAGAACTGTGATTTAATAAACAATGAATCAAAAGGTTTACTATCATCTAGACTAATAAATCACCATCGATGATGAATGATATTATTTTAATAAAAAGGGAATTTGAATTGAATTTTCAATGAAACAAACGTGTACGTAGAGATGTTTGCAACGACATACTTATTTTCAGTTGGATCTTTTAAATTTTTTCAAGTTGTCACTAACCTTTTGCAAATTTTTATCCAATTTCCATTGAATTTGTGAATATGTTATGTGACTTCCAGCACTCATCATTTTAAAAGTTGACGGACGTGATGAGTGACCGACAAAATTTCACACATTACATGCTTTCAACATATGTGTGCAATTTTGTATATCATGTCATCAAGTCCGTTAAATTTTAATGAGTGACAAAGTGATGTATGGATAACATTTTGGTAAATTTCAATGGCAAATCAAAAAAGAAAATTTACAATTCAATGACAACTAAAAAACATTGAAAAAGTTGAAAGGGCTGCAACTCAGATATTTAACCCCCCATATTTAAAAATAAAAAATAAAAAATATCCCCCACATAATCATGGCTCACACACAATTGTCATGTGAATTATTGCAGGAAGCTGCAAGTCCAGACTACTTATTAAAGAGGTCGACGATCATCTTTGAGTAACTTGACTCAAGGATTTTACCAACAAGGTCATCTTGGGTTTCTTTTCTGTTTCCTTCTACTTTTGTAGCCTTTGCTTTCAGTTTTTGCTAATCTCTGCTTTACTAGAAATTTTCAGGACTCGATGAAGTACAAGAAGTCATGAATTTTGTTGCGACTTTAAGTTGCTGCTGCATCCGACTTGGCATCCAACAAACAATTTGATTGCTTGTGCAGCTAATAGCAGCTTGCTATCCTATGTATTATGCATAGCCACTATAGCATGTTCAGGATANACCCGGATTGACACCTCTACTACTATAGCATGTTCAGGATAACACTACACTCTATTTTAAAAAAAAATCAAACTTATTAGTCACCATTTGGCCCCCATTATTTCTCATTAAATTATAATTCATTTTTTTCTCTCTTCTTATCAATCACACATTTTTTTATAAAATAACATTACACATAAATCCAAAAACTTTCTTCCTTTTTTAACCACATTCTTCAAAAAATTACTATTCCTCTCATTATAATTTGGAATAATAGGGCCAAACGAGCGCATATGTTCAGTATAGCACCATGACTTCGCTAGATTTGCAGGGGCATTTTGCCCCATTTTGTAAGGATGTCAGGTGTCAACATTTAGTTGGTGTGTTTTAATTTTTTTCCAGCCAACATCCAATCGAAAAAAGTCATCCGTAATCCTGGAAATAATCTGACATTGTTTTGTACAAGTGGCTTAACACTAGCACTATACACTAAAAAAAAAGAGATCACACCCTCCACATGGAAGGGAGCCCACACACAATAAAATATTCGTGAACCCCCTCCATGTGAGAGGGTGTAATCCATTAGGTAATGAACTGGATGTACATCTAGCACAATAAAAAAAAAAACATATTTATTATACTATTCAGCACTATTTATAAACACAATAACAATGTAGGGTACTTGTCTTTCTGAATATGGAATGACATGATGTACTGTAAAAGAAAATACCTGTTCAATCAATTGGAGTTTCGTCAAGGTTTCGAACGAGTGAACATAGCACAATAAACTCAGAACAAATCCACTACAAGTACATTTCCTATTCCGTTATGAGGACACACCATAACCTCACTACAAGGAGAAACTTCACAAAAAAATAGTACAAATAGATCCAAAGCACTGCACCTTATAACAAACTAGCTTCTATTTTAGTATGGCCGAAGCACACTGAAACGTGATACAATTTTGAAGGAATAGAAGTGATACCACTCGGAAAAAGAAAAGCAACCAGAGCAACACCAACAACAAACAAGACCAATATATACGTTATTTTTAACGAAGAGACGTCAGCCTTTTCACATACAATACAAAACCCTTGGCATGCACATGCAACAAGGCATGCCCTTTTAAGACTTGTTCAAAGGTTTCATTATAAAGTTAGAGATATGCTCTTTTGATTTCCAAGGTTAGTTGGTTTTATCTCCCAAGATGCAACCTCATCTGTTTCTTCTGGAAGAACGAAAGGCAGCGATATCTCACGGATCATCAAGTCACCACAAAATGGGCATTCACTGGCTATGGCATCATCCAACTGTGATCGGATCTGCACGTTATTTATACATCAAATATTACATTCTATGCCAACAAAAAACCACATTAATGGATAATTTAAGTGAAACACTGTGCATTCTGAAGTACTAGTTAATCTGAGGCATGGGAATTTTGTGTGCCACACAGAGAAAATTAAATAGAAAATTTTAATATTAAAGAACTTTTAGATGGAAAATTTATGAACAATGTGAATTCGGTTATAAGATTTTTGCAATCGGAAAGATGAATTCATTCAAGTAGGTCTTCGTTAATATCAAGAAGTTTGGACCCCAATTTGATAATGCAAACAAGTCAATCAACAAGCTTTTTCATTGTTTTCATATTCCTAGTGCATGTTTGGCAAAAAAGCTTAAATTATAATTTAAGCTAGTCATACTTTTTGTCCACACATTCCATAGGACCTACAAATTAAAAGCACTACCAAACATACTTTACTTGACACTGCCTAGAACGCTGTCAGAAGTATGAAATGTAATTCAGACCTTATCTCCAGCAGTCATGCTCGTAATTGGTTTGTCTTCAGATAAACTACCGTTCATTTCCTTCCTCGATTCATTACCTAAAAGAGTCAGCTGCTTTTGGAGATCCAATATATATTCAGCCTGTGGATTCATCCACATGAGATGATGGCGGAAAATATCGTTAGTCCAAGGGATAATGCTAACAAACTTTCAAACAAAAGAATCCATTAATTTAAATGGAAACCTTGTACATAATAGTTAATATTTGCAATTGAATATTACTTAATATACACAGATATCTGATTTTCCAAGTCCCTCTTCAATGTGGTGATTTGAGAATATAAGAAATTAATGTTATTATGCAGCTTAATTTGGTGTGGTGTCAGCTTAAACTTCCACAAAAATGGTTGCATGATTCCAAGTCGGAAAAGGTGTCCATTTTTGCTTAAAACCTTACTTAATATCTCATTTGGCAATTAAAGTAGCCTCATATTTGCATCTCTAAGTACAGTGCTAAAAGAACTGAATTAGGGTGCAAATGCAACACAAATCCACTTTTACTGAGCATATATGTTGAGAGAAATGCTTAAATTACTATGGTTAAAAACATGGTTCTTGAGGTAGTCTGTGGATCATGTATCAGAGCATTTTGGTGAAAAGAAGGTCAGCTTATAATTATTCTAGTGTAAAGAGCAATATTTTCTTTTGACCATAACTGTGTGAGATGGGATCAATTTGAGGGTGCTCAAGAAAAATATTGATCTTTAATTTTTCACAAAACTAGAAATGCTTAAATTCAGTAAAATTTCATTGTTATTCTCAATACAACGGAAGTTCAAATAATAAGGTATTTAAGCAGGGAACTCCTATGCATTCCAGAACTTACTTGAGCTTCAGTAGTGCACCTAGTGACATGGGCAATCAGGCACTGAGCATGGAAGGAATGTCCACATGGAAAAACATAGAAAGGAGCCATTGATCCAACTGATGTGTAAACCCCCATCATCGGGTAGTTGCCAGCCATATTTAATATTTTCTTCTGACAAACCTGTTAAACATACTGTGAACATGAGCATAAATAGGGAAACAAAATACACAAATGCATCTCAAATTGCAGGAAAATGAAGAAGGATTATAGATAGATAGGTCCCTACTGGTAACTTCACACCAGCAAACTTGGTAGCAAAAAGAGTAAAAGCGAAAGGAAAGCAAGTGCTAATAGTTTTTACCAGATCAGGGAAAACAATACCAGGCAACTTAAGAGATTATACGAGGATAAAATGGATGATGACACTCAAACCCAAAATTCACACAAAGTAGTTAAAATCAGAAATAGGATTTTAACCAAAAAATCACAGGTAACAAGATCCCAACAGCTTAAAATAGATTATCAAATAGACCGAGAATCCTTGAGAAACAAGATGAGAATATCCAAGGCCAGAAAAAATAATTTTTTAAGCATGGTTCACAAGACTGAATGGTCAATTCTCCTCGGGAGTCAGGACCCTTCATTCTATGTAATATACAGAGATAAAGATAACATAATGAAGGGAAACTCAAGCATATACGTTAAAAATTTGATACAGATGCACTACTGAGACTGTACAAATCATAAAGGAACAAACATCAAGAGATCATTACCCCGCATTCCTCGCCGCAATCAATGATAGCATATCGTTGTGCAAGTGCACTGATATCATTCCTAATGTTGTCTGCACCACGGGTAGCATCATTCATCTTCTCTTTAAGTTTCTCAATTTGATCATTGTAATCCTCCAATGATGAGCAGATTGCCTCCTACAATTTGAGGAAATTTAAGCTAGGGACAACTGACAACTAAGAGGAGTAAGCCATAGCAAGGATAAAAGTCTTCGTGTATATTGATGTGAGAATAACTAATGCTAGAGCCAGTCGAAAGAAATAATATGATCAATAGAAATTAAATAGATGTTGATCATATGTCCATGCAATGAACTCTACCACAACTATAAAATAAGAATGACATGAAGGCTTTCTGAAGTTGGATTCTAGCTGGACCAATAACATTGATGAGAATATTTACAAACAGCAAATGCAAGAAACCAACCAAAAATAGAACAAAATTATGGCACAACCATCATGTATTGACTCTGAACAGAAAAACTAAAAGAAAGCAGAGTACCTTGAAATCATCAATCAAGGCAAAATCTGGGAAAAAGGGTAAGATATCTTCAATCTTTAAGAGTCCATCAGTTTCCTTGAGAAATGCTATTGCCTTTCGGATGTTCTCCCTTTTCGTTCCCTTCTCCTGTTCAATGACATGCTTGGCAACCATGAGCCAAAGTTTCTTCCGCAAATCTTCATCATCTTCAACCTTATCAGCTTCAGCCATAGCAAGCTCTGGATCGACCTATTGCATTGGATGAAATTTCAGCACAGTCGAATGTGTGTATGTATATGTATGTATGTGTGTGTGTGTGTGTATGTGTGTGTATATATATATTTTGATGTCTTAATAAATTCTGAAGTGAATACTGGTATGATATGAATACTCCATCATAAACAGTCAACCATAGCAGCATAAAGAGAGAATTCGAGAAATGATCTGTTACTTACTGCCACCACCTCAGTGTAAGTCAGCATGTGTGCATGCAAATATAAAAATTTTAATGCATTATGAACTTTTATCTCTATAACTATTGAACAGGAGACTTGACCCTTTAACATAAATAGCGTCATCAACATGTTCAAAATATTTTTTGTAGATAATTAAAATCCAGCAACTGAATACCAGTCAATTTGAAGCTCTCACCTGCAAAGCAAGGGCAACTGCTTCTTCATGCATAGACATCATGCTGTATATATGGACACAGGCACGCATCCGTTTTTCCTTGAGACAAAGGCGCAAGGCATATTTTGGATCGTAGAAGAATTCAGGACCATTGGGCCGCCCTTTTCCAAACTTGCATTGCAGAAAACGCAGAAGAGCGCTCTCATCCTCCTGAGAAATGAACAGGGACATGAACATTGCAAAAAAGAGACGTGGAACTATGATCTCTATATTATTTTCTTTTTGTGAATGAATAAATCAGGAGTTTGGAATATGGTTCAATGCAGATGAATGGTTTCTATTGGTTGCATTCATTATATCAATAAGTCATGAAAAAGTTTTATGCCACAATTAGAGCACAGAATATGTTTATTAAGATAATGTATAAGAAAATATATGTCCTAGTTTACTTAATGGAACGTCCACAAAGAATGAACCCTTTTCAAAATATTTATTTCATTTTCAAATAGGTCCTTAAGTTATGATTGACGAGGACCCTAGGTGCCTTTATTTTGAGGAAAAGAAATGGAAATTACATCAGATCACTACTCTATTGTGGAGAAGTTTCTCAGAGAAAATATGAAAAATTCCCGGTAAAAAAAAAATAGAGGGTGATTTTAACATCTGTAAGTAACAAAAAAGATGGAAGAGAAAGAAAACACATGATTACGAGGTTAACAAGACATTCAGAAAGTGTACTAAGCAACACAAACCTGCTTGGCATACAACGAGAGCAACAAATTGTGAACACTAGGATCCTCATTCTGTAAACGATGAACACAATACTCCAGATATTTTATTACTTCATGAGTTTCATTCCTGAAAATTTGGTAGAATAAACATTCATCAATTAATCAAAAAATTTTCCACCAAAAGATTCTAATTAATAGTGGATCGTATCTGATGGTATAACGCATACAAATTCCTAGTCAAGTAAAGAATGAACTTTGATTGCTTATAATCACTCAATGCTGCTTAACCCAACTCAATAAAGCAACAGATCAAACCATTAGTCCTATTTTTATCACACATTCAAACCAAGCCCATTAAGACAGAAGGTATAAGGGTTTGTCTATGGGAATCTTAGTCCTTCGGTATTTTCAGTCGAAAAATTTATTTTACTTGCATTACTTCTCTCCAAACCTTTTAATTACCATTTTATTGAAACAAAATTTATTTGATATCAGATCTGAAGCTGCACTAATTATATTGGTCTTGGTCCTTTAAGCATTTACTTTATTCATCAAGAGTTCTCAAAACAAGCAACATATCCACAATACTAGTTTAAGATCTCGATATGAGAAAGATACAGCTCCAGTGAAATTGTTGAGTTGAAAACTAGAAGTTAGCTTAAGTGCAGGACTGGCCCAAAAGCAATATTAGAGACATAACTAATGCAAGTATAATTGCAAAGAGTCCTCAATTTTCTTAGACAGTAACCAATGCAATACAAGTGTGAAGAGTTCTAAATTTCCAATCATCAATGCAACAGCAAGAGTATATGGTCTATCCAATTATCAAAGAGAAAGAAAGCAAAATAAACTAAGTAGAGATAAAAGTTACTTTGAATGCGATTCACTTGAATAACGCATCATTGCAGGAATGAGCTTCCTTGGATTCAGGTCTTTCCTGATCATCCATGATTCAACAGTTTCATATGCATCAAGCATGATAAGGTCTGGGGCAAACTTGTACTGCAAAATAGGATGAACTAATCATCTTTCAATAATAATATACAGATTCCGGAGAAAGCCTGTTAGCATACATAACGAAACAGCTTAAGCAAAGACATAATGGGGAAGGAGGTTACAGTTGCAGAGTGCATATGGAAAATAGTTTGGAAGTAAATTTTCCATTAGCCCATACCTGAAGGTCTATGGGAACATTAAGTTTCTGAAGAACTTGCAGTGCTTTCTTTGCTTCTCCCAGCTATTTACAAAATAAAAAAGTCAGCAAAATCGTATTGAATTAAATTACTAATGAATAACTGTGGCCTAATAAATGATGTTTTGAAGTATTATGCATTGGAGATGCAATAAATTATGCCGAAAGGTAAAATGAATATTTTGGCACTAGAGGATGCAATAAATCAATCAATGATAACTATGCCATGCACATGAAGAAGCATATGATCAAGAGCTAAAGAAAACAGCGGTTGAAAGATCTAGAATTATGATGGCATTAGAAGAAAGTGGGGGAAAAAAGAAGCACCTGAATATAATGATGGACCACAATCTCATGTTGCTCCTTAAGACTAGCAAAGAATACCAATTCATCAACCCTACCATAGCTGCAAGATATCATAATAAACGTGTTTAAATAAAGAGATCTTTTGGTCAGCATATTTAAGAGGAATTTAAAATGTGACTTCTTACATAAAAAGGTAAAATTTAGCAATGTGTCAAAAAAAAAGTTTTGTTTTATAGACTAGTATTATCCACACAAATTTGGAAGCATTGGAGGCTAAGCAACTTTTAATAAACTATTAAATTTCTTTTTATCCATGATTTACATTTCATGAGAAATATGTAAGAAGCTAAAAAAGACAAAACTAACTACAATAGGAATAACCTTTCTAGCAGCTTAATGGTGGTTGCCTCATCCAATACATCCTTGCTGTCACTCAAAAAGGCGCGGAACTCCCTAATGATTGATTGGTACTCTGAACTACTATTCTCAGATGCAGTATCGTCTTCCAAAAGTAGCCGATTCATCTGATAACAGAACATAGAAAATAAATGGGCCACATACGAATTCTTCATGTAAATAGACTCATTAGTAGAAGTGAGAGAAATTGGAAGCCCGTAACAGATGCCAAATTTCCTATCAGAAATTTCATTAGGCGGACATATAAACAATATCCTGCACATCGATGCGTCCAACATTGACAATAAACAAGTTAGTCTCATTGGTGCCCATGGATGACCACCTGCACAATTAGGTCTTGGTTTTCTTGGATTTTATTTTTCCTATCCTCCAGAAAGCTAATTTTGTTCTGTATGTTCATCATTCATCCAAGATGTCAGTAAAAATGCAACAAATATAAAATATTTTATAAAACAAGGATTTAGTCTTGGCAATGATATAATAGCCAATCGTGGTCAAGTAAATGCAAGGATTTCCTTTTCTCTATTCTTCTTTTTCACAATTAGACTCAAATTCTCGGAATCTACTATATTCCCTTGAAATAGTAGAAAAGTGAGCCATGCTGCAGATGGGACAATTGAAGATTCGGCAGCCAAGGCTATATATAAGCAGCATGAAAATCTCAAGTTCATTACCATATCTGCACTTTAAATGACTTATGATGGAAGTTCTTAGATTCTCAAGAAGTAGCTTTAACAGAGAACAAATTTTCACATCCTTGCCAAGAAACTTGAATTTTACTAACTACCAACAGTGGAATATTTTGCATAAGAGGTAGAGCACCTAACCAAAGATTCAACAACTTATCTTAGTGGTACAAATTTAGTCAACGAGGACAGGATTAAGAGAAATGAAGTTGGTAGTCCAAGAAAAATATGCAGCATCCACACCTTATCCAAGTATAACTCAGTTGCCCAAGTGGAAATCATTGTGATCTGGCATTTGTCATCCTTCGCAAGATTATCAAGCTTCCGTAACAAGAAGGTTCTTAAAGCATCCTGCATGTTTGTTAAAACATCAGAAAAGACGGCTGGATTGTTATCTTACGGTCATCAAGGATAGTTCCATTAACCTCATGTTTGACACATGCATTAGACTTGGATTTGCGTGAATAAAGCAAAACTGTATTTTTAGTTCCAATAAGTAGCAGAATTTTAAGTTTATATCATACGGAGAAAATTAAGCTCATCATGGTGAACATGAGAAGGAGCATAGAAAAGATGAAAAGTTTACAATCATATAAATAATCAATTCAATATATTCATCTCCAAGCAAATAAACAAGCAGCAAGTTTAGAAAAAAGAACCATAGAATTTCAATCCAATTAGAGAATGAAATGAAAGTCACATGCAACATTTGGAAAAAATCTAGATAGATTTACTAGTATGCACATCAGCTTGTGGGTTCTACACCAGAGACTGGAGGTTCAACACTCGAAACAAATAATGAGCACAGCAGTGAGCCATCAAACCGGTTCAGATCACCATGATGAGATTCAATGCAGCTACAAAAATAATTTATTGGAGATCATCTCTCTTCAGATTGATAAGCTACTTTTACAGTTTGATGAAGAAATTCACTATTTTTGCTTGAATTTTGGTTGATCGCAACAATTTAAGTGGCCATGCTTTAAATCAAAGCTATAAGTATACAAGTGTTAGTTAACTTAATCTAATACGCAATTGATGCATTACATGTACGCTTTTATCATACACTCGCTAAGTGGTTGCTTCTTGTCTATAGTTTTGCCACAGTTGCACCTATATCTTGGCCATTTCGTTGCACACGGTTCTGTTAATTCATATGCGAAATTTTGGGTTGCATGCACATGGAATAAAATGTTTTGTATAATTTAGCAAAATATCACCTCCAGAACAAATAAATGGCAACAACAGAGTGTAAATCAGAAACAATAATACAATGTAGAAAGCCCTCTTACAGAAAATCTTAAAAACAGGCTAATAGTTTCAAAGCTCTGGATTAAAAGAGGCGTAATGGAAAGCAATTTAACAAGCATGATAACAACAGCATAGGAACAATACCTGATGAAAGTTACTTGATCACAGATAAATTTTATCATTAGCAACAGTATATAAGGCATAGGAGAAGCACGTCAATTCACTCTATATTCAAATCGTTAGGTTTTGGCTGACTCTTCTATAGTACTATGAACCCGAAGGGTAAAAAAAAAAGTCGGAAAAAATAGTAACAGGAAAACTTCGTTCACAAATAATTATGACATGGATGAGTGACTACTTGAAAATTTGCCAAAATGGCAGAATTTCTATTTTCTCTTAGTACCTGACGGCAAAGAAGCTGCTAATAATTAGTCAAAATATTGGAAGAAAAACTGCTGTTACCTGTTCACCTATGCTAATAAACTTCAAAGTGATCTCTTCGAATGATAATACATAGTTAATCTGCAAAAAGCATTCATTGTTGTGTTAAAAGAATGCCCTGTTCTGCCAAGTAATAAGTTCTAACTAGATTACTTTGTTCCCTCTCCACTTTTCAATAGAATGGTACTTTTTAATCAGCAATACAAGCAGGAATGATGAAATAGAAAGACAATAGAGAACAAAAGAAATATCTTTCCAAGAACATTGATGTTCAAGTAAACAGTTCCTTGTATGCAACTCTTTTGTACTGTGGTTTCCTTACAGTTACTTTACCAGAGTTTTCCCGTTACAGAGAAGCAATATATATCACATAATGAAAAATCTCAGGGCATAGAAGCTCAACGGATAGAATGCTCTTTCTTGTGGTATTTTACCATCAACCAGTTCACCAAAGGGAAACTCCCACCCTTTAGAGTAAACCAAATTAGTGTCGCTTTATAATAACAACACTATTTCAGCTTAACGGTTCTGTAACTCCGAGGGGAAAATTCTGCCTAAACCATGTTCAAATGAATTCATCATTTTGCAGTTAAGTCCTGTTTCTGTTGGTTGTAAAGAATACTCGGACATACCAGTCATGTCATAAATTATTTTAATAAAATCAAGTGAAATGATAGCATTAATAATTACATTCTTGAACCGAAGCTCGTGACTTGATGCGCCCATTTGATTCTCATTATTGTAGAATGAGAATGAAAAATATAGTTGTTATTGGGCCCCACACAAGAGCTAGAAATTCAAAATTGATGGCTTGATGTGATGGATAACGGTCATATTTTTCATTTTTAAGGATGAAAAATGAGAAACAAACGGGGGCACAATATAGGAATTACGGCAGCTCTGAAATGGCAGCCCTATGAATTATAACGTACGTAATGCATTTGATCAGGAAGAAGAACATTGATGACAGTTGAGGGCTGGTAGCAAGTTTACTTTTTTTTGATAGAATCGTGTTAGACCGTAATGGGGTAGGGAGTGGCCAATTCTGCAATGCAAGTGATGGGAATCTTATAGAGATATTATTTAATTTAGTTTTCAATTTTGATACTTATTTTAAGAAACATAATTATTGTTTGATTTCATACAGTACTTTCCTACTAAATTAGGAGTGTGTTTGGTAGAGATTAAAATCGGATTAAAATTGAAAAACTAGCCGTTATTGTTGACTTTTATTAGACGGGTGGGACCCAATAACGACTATATTTTCAATTTTAATTGGATCTTTAGTATTACCAAACAAGCTACAACTTTGATAATGAAATAAAGAAAGGAAACTCACAAAAGAAAGCGAGCTCAACGAAACAAATGAAGCGAACAGCAGGAGAAGACCGGTAATAGAAGGTAACGAACTAGAGACTGAGAAAGAGATCAGAAGCAAAACTCGGCAAGGAGAAGGCTGAACCCAGGTGCGAACCCAGGTGCTACACTAAAATAGGCTTTACCTGGGACCGCACGACTCTCTGCCCGTGAATGTGCCTATTTCGATTCAGGAGGTATCAGAGCAGATATATTCTTTTCATAAATTCTCTCTTCCATCTGTCCAATTCCTCTCCCCTTTCTCTCCCCTTCTATCTCGCACATCTTCTCTTTTCCCTCTCTTTTCTCTTCTTCCTTTCCCTTTCCCTTTCCCCTTCTTCTCTTATTGTTCTAGTGCATCCTACATCAGCAAGTCTGTTGGTAAAAAATGGTGTTCTTGCTTCTAAAGATGAAAACTCAGTATCAGAAAGAAAGAGAGAAAGGAAAGCAGTACGCCACTGCTTTTCTGACAGAAAAATGGCATTGTGTATGGTTAAGAAAAATGATATTTTGTCGATATGGGGTTCTTTTGCAACTGGACTTCTGTTGACTATGTAGAAAATCTAGTTATAGTATGAAGGACAATGGAGAGAATAAGCATGAAAAGAGCCAATCACTATCCTAGTCTTCATACAGTATTATCAGGTAAACTACTGTCAGAATGAAACAGAAATTATACTCTCTCTTCTGAGAAGTAGATGGCATTCTTGCCAACCTGCATCAATGTCCTAAAGGAGTAAAGGAACCCTAAATATTTATGCAAGTCTGTGATGGTAAAGGTGGTCATACGGTATATAATAATTGTCTGAAAGACACATTTTAGAAGGATTAGTTCAAGTAATGAGAGAGTAAAGGATAAAATCACCTTTGCATAAAAGGAAGCTGCTCTGAGAAAATCCTTTGTATTAAAAGCATCTTCAGCCTGCATTACATTATCTCTGGTCATAAATCATAAATGCAAGAAACCATTACTGTAATCAACATTAATCAAGGGCAATGGTTCATGGAGTTAAGAGGAAGAGGACAAAGCAACTTTTTAAGGAAATCAGCATAAACATCATTATTATCAAAAATACGAAAGTCAACCTGCACTAGATAAACTTGGTCTCTTTGGAGGGCGTCACGACAGTTTGCTAAAGCTGCAGCATATTCTTTTAAGTCCAAATAGACTTTCCACATATCTCGGCCTTCATCATTCACTGACACCTAAATAAACACTTTCAAGTCAGCAAATTAATGCCCAATAGAGCCATAACAAGCAAATATCTAGCATAACACCAGAAATATGGACCTGGAAGATGGAACTTTGGTCATATGCATAGAAAAGCCCAGCAGATGCATCACTACACAAACCTATAACGCCTCTTGAAGCGGCATCAGGTGTTTGATCAAAATAAAGTTCCTCAACTATCTGCTCACTTATCCTATTCACAACCTACAAAATATAGTAAAATATGGCAATAACCTATTAAGTAGAGGAAAACAAAGGCATTATTAACCTTTTTCACTGCCATGAATCACGTCCAAAAAAAAAAAAGAAAAGAAAACAAGGGGAAATAAGTAACCCATCTATGTTGATTTTTGAATACATTAAACACATTTTTGGGAATTGTTTATAATCGAATTAAATTATAATTAGCTAGGAATGAGTAGTGGGTAGTACTTAATGAGAGGGTAAAAAGTGGATAGAAAACAAATTTGTTTATAATTTAAACACTTGTTGCCAAACAAGGGCAAAAAAAAAAAAAAAAGAAAACAAGGGGAAATAAGTAACCCATCTATGTTGATTTTTGAATACATTAAACACATTTTTGGGAATTGTTTATAATCGAATTAAATTATAATTAGCTAGGAATGAGTAGTGGGTAGTACTTAATGTGAAGGTAAAAAGTGGTTTGAAACCAAATTTGTTTATAATTTAAACACTTGTTGCCAAACAAGGGCTAAAAGAGGAAGTTTTCCTATCCAAGTCTCAAAACGCCCAAGCTAAATGAATAAAGAGCCCGTTCCAATTAAGCCAATAGCATAGTGCTGGCTTAGTTTCTAAAATCAGAAAGCACAAATTCTTGGAAGGGTGTCCAGGTGACAAAATAATTCCTAGTGCTAGTTCTGTACAGGACTGCAAGATGGCATAACTTCAGCTCTTAATAAAGTTAAGAGAGCATTTAATCTCAAACGAATCTCAGGCTTCACTTTGAATCTGTAGAAATAGCAAGTGAAGTTGTTGCTAGCTGCTACAGAAGAAAGGATGTAGTCCCGTTAGACAGGATTTTGCAGTATATCCCAGCGAGAATGTCCTTAAGGAGATGCATTTTTTGACAAACATCTATTTCCGATAATCTTCTATCATTGCTATTCACTCTATAAGATTCTTGAATAAAGAAATATCCAGTGCATAAACTAATAGGTATTAAGCATGCAGACACGTAAGGTTATAACATCTTTGAGAAGGGAAGTTGGGAAGGCTACAAATTTTAAAGATGCAAGAAGCAAATTAAAAGCCAGTTAATAGCCTTTGCGCCTTATGTTCACTACATGGAAAAGATTAAGAAGAGAACATGAAGGACCGGAATAACAACTAGTAAACCCACAAAACTCAGTTGTACATTTGCTTTTCCAAAATATTTAATCAATCTTATCATTCATAGACTCCCCACTGGAACTACTTAACAATGCTTAGTCTTTGCAAAACCTCAATTGTACGCTCAACCAGGGGCGGACACAAACATTTTGAGTTGGAGGCACAATCAAACTTGTAAAAATGCTGAGAATAATTTTACATTCGAAAATTTACATCAAAAAAAAAAAAAATCATATCCCATGTAATTTTACATCCGAAAATTTACATGGTATATGACCTTTTCGGATGTAAAATATCCCATGAAAAATTTCCTAATAAAATGATGTAAATTATATTGAAAAATTTGTATCACAAAAATAATCATAATTGAAATTTTTTAAAGAAAATACGAGTTAGACCCCTCTTTTTAAGATGCACGTTTGACGCATCTTTAACTATTTTCGATATTTGTTTGGACCATTAGAGATGACATATGCGATTTGTGGATTCGGTTAGCGTATGAACATGGAGAATTTTTAAAGTTAGCATGTTATCGAAATTCTCGAAATACAAGTTTGGAACGACCTACTTTGACAAGCCATAACATTTGCTACGATTGGCTGTTTTGCGCACTATTAATGATATTGAAAACTAGACCGTGAGCATTTCAAAATGGTATTAAGAATGCAATATTTCAACTTTGTTTGGCATCCCATAATGACTTCAAAAATTGAGACAAAAAAAAAAAAATTAGCCCCAAAGTTGGGGAGTCCCCCATGCCCAACCCTGTGTTCGCCCCTGCGCGCAACCCATCGTGGGCGTACTACTTTTAACATGTATTAAGTATTTATGGATATTCATACCACTAGTTAAAGAAGTAGCAACAAGAGTTACTGATTACGCACCTTAACCTTGTTTCTGACAAGAAGAAGAAAATGAAACTCAGATACTGCCAGGGAACTCGGTTTAACAGAAGCTCCTTCGCCTAGTTTTGAATAGTCCAAGAGAGCCTTGTTCTCCACAAAGTTTTCATCCCCATTAGGTGAACTGCCATTTAGTTCCCCAAAATCTTAGTGACAAAAAACATACTATAAGCTGTTCCATTAAATTATGCATAAGTAGAAATCAGGCAGATATCCACCTGCGTTGTGCTCCAAAATTAAGACCACCATGATAGATTCCTGCCCCAGAAAGCCATGCAAAATGTATTGCTCTTCTTTGCTGTATAAAGAAATGCAGTTCACTGCAAGAAGGATATACCAAACATCATCTTCATTACTCATGAGTGCACAACCCAATTCTTGCCTAGAAAATCTGAAATCCTAGATAGCAAGATTACGGAACCGCCCAATCCTTTTCTTACTACCTGTTGGGAATTTCACCAGGAAGTTCCATAAAATGAACTGCACGGTCCACATAACTAGCAAAAACAGACTGCAGAAAAATTACAAGTCAAAAACTATTCAATAGAAGTCGACCATTATTGAAAGGAAAAATCGCCCAAGACTTTTAAGAAAGTTTATCATATAAATGAGGACTGGGAAGAAAAATTAGAAACCATGAAAAGTTTGGGAATATGGAGAGAGAGCAGGTGGGGGAGAGAGAGACCTTCTATATTAAAATACAATAGGATTAAGAGTATGCATGATGCTGTGGTACAAAGAAATCACAGGTGGATAGCTCGAAAAAAATTCTAGAATATGGTTCAATCAGACTTCTACTCTCCCCATAGTTCCAAAACTCAAGAACCTGAGAATTTGCAGACTTAGCTTTGAAGAAAAGGAGGCTTAGAGAGTTACAATAAGATAAATGTGATCAAATACATGTCCGAAACGAATACTCGAGCTACTTGATGCCCAGTGTGGACATATTTTACTCTTTACAGGAGATAAACTATATGAGTGCTCAGACATAAAACATTAAAAGGAAACTAAGTTGAGCATTATTAGTCACTTTCATGCTGAAGAAGAAATGGCTTGTGCTACAAAAGTGAATAACATGTAACTACAAGAAAAGACAAATGATTAAACATTTAACCCAGAAGGAAAAAAAAAAATTGTAGTGTAAATATTTTCAATATTTGAAGGAAAATATGTGATCATTACAGCTAAATTTCATGCAAAGATAAAAACTCTTGAGATGCCAGCTGAACTTTTAACATAGGGGGTGTTTGACACCCATTTTAGTAGGAAAATGAGTTTTTGAATAGTGATTGATGGAAGAATGTGTGGTTAAAAAGTAAGGAGAATTTTTAGGTTTATGTGTAATATTATTTTATTGATAGAATGTGTGGTTGAAATGAAGAAAGAGAAAAAGAATGAGAATGAGAATGAAAAAAAAATGGGTGCCAAACAGGGGCATATTTAAAAGTTATAATGAATGCAGCATATTACAGGCTAATCAGAACCTCATACAGTGCATCCTCAAAGCATCAGAACAAGTGCCAAGTGTAAAGAAAATAGAAAGGAATAATTCCTTATAGAAAAAATTCATATTAAATAATCT